CTTTCTATGAAATCTGTCAAAAAAGTACCAGCTGCAGGCACTCTCTCCCTGCTACTACAGAGACAAGTGGTGGCGGTGACTGGGTCCTAGCACCTGCCCATCCACCTGCCTCTTTATTCAGAACTGAAGCAATTTGACTCAAACCCTTAAAAGGTTGCTCACCACTGCTATAAAGTAGCCACTTCTGCCACAGTTGGAGACAGTATAATGTGGATGGACCACCAATGGACCATTGATCTGCCCCAGTATGACAAAATGTAGCAACAGATGGGACTTTGTTTTTCTTTTCTTTTTTTGCCTCCCATGAAGCAAGGTATGAATTAGGAGAGAACTTTTATTGAACTGTGCAAATTTTCATAAATAAACAGTATGATGGGCAATAGGAACCAAATAATGCCTTATAAAGATACTGAAAATATTTCAGTCTTTGCCTGTATATTTATTTTGTTTGAATAGGAGAATATTCTGCTAATTAGATGCTTATCTTATGCTTTTCTTATCCTTATAGAAGCATAGAATCCTAGAACTGGACGGGACATGTAAGATCATCAGGTCCGGTCTCTTGCCATGGGCAGGAAGTTATTGGGCTCAAATGAGCTCCACAAGGTGCCTGTCCACCCTCATCTTGATCACCTCCAAGGAGGGTGACTGCAACACCTCTGTTGGGAGTGTGTTCTGGTGACCCTAACAGAGAGAATTTTTTTTCTCATCTCGGGCCTGAATTTATTCTCTATCACAGGGGTGGCCAAAATATGGCCCATGGGCTGTATCCAGCCTACCAGGCCATACTATTCAGCCTGTAGAGCCCCTAAAATTTTTAATAAACTAATATTTAGTTGCCTCTGGCTTCCTGTCAAAGGTAAGTGGAGCCAGGGGCAATAGGACCCAGAGGGAGCCCTCAGCAGGCTTGCAGGCTTCAGCAGCCCAACCCCACCCACCCCCAGCCAGCTCCCTGCTTTCCCACCCCTGCCCTGCTCCAGCACCACGTGGTGGTGGCTCCTGGCTCCCGGGTTGTGGCTCCCTGGACCATGGAGCACAGGATCCTCCTGGTAGGGGGAGGGGATGTGAGTGTGTGCATGTGCACATGTGCCTGCAGGCACAGGGGTAGAGTGTGTATGTGTGTATACAGGCACAGGGAAGAGAGTGTCTGTGTGTCTGCTGGCATGGGACAGAGTGTGTGAGGGGAGGTGTGGGTACATGTGTATGGCGGGGTATGTGTGGGACTCACGCTATGAAGACATACACCTCACCATACACATGCACCCACACCTCCCCTCTCACCACCATACAAAAACCCCAGCCACCCTTCCCCATACCCACCCACACACAACATATCTACACACGTACCCACATGCTCCCTCAGCCCACATACCCACATGCCCACAGCCCCCACAAAACTTTACCCATCCCCCACAATAAACAAGAGTAAGACTTCATTTTAAGCTATTGTGCAGTCACCTCTGTGTACACTACACAAACGCATGTAAATGAGGACAAAAATATTTTTTGAAATCAAATTAATGAACGTTGTAGATGTTCAATATTTAGAATATAATTTGGTATTTTCTGGTTCTGAGATGGCAAAACCCCTTGCTGAAAGGAGTACTTCTGGGGGCAAGGGGAGGGCGTTCTGGTGGCAAGGGTCAGGGGTTAGGGGGTGAGACTTCCAATCACAAGATGGGGAAGATGGGGACTAGGAGGCGGGGCATCCATGAATGGGCAGGGCTACCCATGCAGCCCTCAACAGCTTGCCAAAACTCAGTATGTGGCCCTCTGCGCAAAATAATTGCCCGTCCCTACTCTATCAGCTTATGCCCTTGTCCTCCCTTGAAGTGCCTTCCTGAAGAGTTGCTCCCTTAGATCTTGATTCTCACCCCTGACATACTTGTATGACAATTAAATTTGGCTACATTCTAAACAAGGCAATAAAAAAAACAGACTGCATATTACATCATGGTTTCCTACCATACAAATCCAGAAAAAGAATAAAGGAGTTTCCACTTGGTTTAAAGCTTAGATTTGAACTGCGCCCCCTTCCTCCCCAAAAGTAACTTGTGCTAATTTATTCTATAGAGTAGTAAAACTCAGTTGTTGAATTTTTCCTGTGGGTAGCCAGAACTTAGGTTTAATTCATGTAGAATTAGTAGGCTGTTATACAGAGCTTTGCAGAGGTGGTCCATTTATAATTTTTCAGTTTGTAAACACACACCAGTGAAACCCCATTTTGCACTCTGTGTGGGCCCCTAACTCTAAAGGGGTGTCATTTATTTTACATGTATAATTCTTCAATGGTATAATTCTATAATGGTCTAAAGCTGTAGACCACCAAAGAAAAGTGCCTTCTCCACCTCTTCCAGCAACAGATTTGATCAAATTGATTGCAGGAATATAGGCCATTGCTCTTATTCATTGTACACAAAATAAGAAGCCTGTTCTTTAAGAGTATTAGTTTAAATTATAGGCGTAGTAAGAAAATTTTGAAGTTGTCTAAAATGTGGCAGTTTGCAGATGAGTGTCCAAGTTTTGATTCTAATTAAATTTCAAGGATTTTGTTATCTTGCAGTAGGAAAAAAATAATCATTTGGCAATAATACTGTTCAAGTTAGTTTAAATTGCAATTATTCTTTTGAGTAATTGTTGTAAAGTTAAGAACCAGAGAGACTTTATTTAGCCATGTCAGTCTTAAGTCCAGCAGAAGGCAGGGTAGATTGGCACTTTGCAGACTAACTGAAGTGCGTGTGCGTGTGCGTGTGCGTGTGCGTGGAGAAGGGCAGTGCTAGGAGAAGCAAACAAGCAGAGAACCCAGAGGAACAAAAGTAATGGAATAAAAGTCCACAGTCCCTGATTAAATCATACTTAACACAATCCAGTCTGTGGATGATTTCCACTGTTTCCCATTCAAATTGGTTTTTAATGGTTAATGTTTAATAAAAGCTACCCTGGGGTCAGCAATGTCTAGGGAGGTTAAGTGTTCTGCCAGAGGCCTTTGAATGGGAACAGGAATTTCCTTATTGATAAATGTTTAACTTTTCACTGTAAATTATATTTATACTTAGCTTTTAACATAAGTTTTGCCACTAGCTCTGCCTGTAATTAAATTTGCTCAATACTTTCCGTTATAAGACCTTGTAATTTTGTGACCTGCAGCAGTTTGGGTTGAAATTTTACATGACTTGTTTCTGCCTCAGATATTTTAGAAAATTGCACCCAAAATGGTTAAGACCATTTTGAAAAAGAGGCAGGAAAATTGGGCTGAGTTTTATAAGTCTTTTAAAGACTAATTAACACATTCTCAGTAAAGATTAATATGATTTCAGCAGCTAAAATCTCCAAAGGTTTTGACCTCACTGAGCTTACCTAAGATTTTCATAACTCTAGATGTTGACCTGACTATGTATACCCCATCTCCACAGTGCTGTTGAGCATGTTCTAGCCCAGGACTATGGGGGCAAAGCTAGAGATTTCAATATAATGTGTTCTCTGGGCCAGTGTGGAGGCTGACCTGAAACTGAGAGTAAGACGCTTGTTGCCCTTAGGTCTCAGTGCTTCCCATGTTGGGCCTTGGCAAAGTGGAGGAGGAAGGTGTCCCGTTTAAATGCAGGGGAAGCAAAAGTCAGGTGAAAAGAGAGGAATGAAATTAAAAGTTGTAGGCAGGAAGGTTTAGTGAGAGAATCTGGCTGAGCAGGAAGACTGAAACTTGGAAATGAAAGGGAGGAGGCTGTGACTAGAACCAGGATAAGTGGGAGACTTTGTGGTCAGCATCTTGTGTAGGTGTTACATGATGGATTTTCCCTCCGGTTTGTTTATTTTAAAACCTAGGAAATTGCACCAAGAAGATCAAACGATGATGACTTGCAAAGTCAAGCACTCAAAACTTAGGAAATAACAGATTAAAGATCTCCTATTTGGTCCCTTGGGTGAAGGCATTATGACACATTAATTCTAATTATGATACTATTAATTCAGGCATCTCCTACCTTTTGAGTGTTTGACTTTGTATTTTTAATAATGTCATAATGTGTTGCATGTGTGTGTGATAGGAATAGAAAATGAACTACTTTCTCATCCTCATCAAGGTCAAGGTTGAGATACATGGCAGGGCAATATGGGAAATTTGTTAGTGTTGTTTTCTGGGCTTTTCCTAGTCATGCACCTATTCTAAATCCTAAAATTAGGATACACATACATGCACGCGCACGCACACACATATGTGCTAAATTGTTTATACATAAACCTAATGAATAATATAGTATGTTACAGTTTCACAAAACAACAGCATTATTAGGGGAAAGTACTATTATTAAGGTTCCCACCATGCTCAATACCTTTCACTCTGGTAGTTTCAGTTTACGCACACTACCTTCACTTTGCTCCTACTGTGTATTATTGCAAGGAAAAAGATGAGATAAGCTGACAAAACAGTCATCAGAGATTCAATGAAATCAGAATAAGTTCTACATGATGAGAGGAGCTATTAATATTTTAGTGGCTGTCTTCCCTACAGGCACCAGAGAATTACATCACTATGTATATGGTATAAATTGTCAGTGATCAATAGATTTAATGTACTGAGGGTCCAGGGAAGGATTTTTCAACATCTTGGTTACTGAACAACTAGATTTGATTATGGAAATAAAATAAAGTATCTATAAAAGAAATAATTGAAAACAGATTTTAAGTATGGATCATACAGAAACACCAGACTCCTGCATCAAATACTGCAGTTGGTTTTATTTAATCATGTTGTTTTATTTAGCAGAATAAAACAATTTGTTACTTTTAAACTGTTGTGGATGGTTTGAGAACACCAAAATGATGATGTGTAAGTGTTAAAGTGGCACTTTAAATTATGTGACCTCATTTTATTTCTGAAAAGTCAAAATGTAGAAAGCTGAAGTCACATGCATTTGATAATTCCAAGCAACTCTTGATAAATAATACATGCTCTTTCTCCTTCACTGAGAACTCTCTCTGACTGCTCCAAAATCCTTTCAATGCAGGGCCCAGCCTTCTATCCCAGAGTGCACTTCAGCTCAATTCCAAACCTGAAGGGTCTTTCCAGTATTCAGCCAGCTACCATAGCAACCAGACCCTTGCCCTGGGTGAAACAGCGGCATCACAGCTCCCTGCCCGCAGCAGTCAAGCCCGAGCTGCCATTCAGAGCTACAGCCAGGTATGTTTGAGAAGTAGCCGAGTTCTTTTACACAACACATTGCTGAAAGATGCTTTGGGAATGTAAATTTATTCTATGCTTTAGTGACTTAATGAATCCTAGTAAACACTTTTTTTTCTCGTTCTTTTGGACATTATGATTTCTGTAGCAGAATTTAGCCAGCACCTTGGCTTGTAAATCTGAAACTGCTGTGCCTTTCAGAGTAATAAAATAACGCTGATTTAAAGAAGGTATTACAGGCCATTTTTATTTACCTACTTAAATATAGATTTTGGTGATTAACTTTTAGCATCGTACATAATAGTTACTCATTTATGTTTAGGAGTCATTATTTATTTCCTGTAGTGACCAAGAGTCCTAGTTACAGGTCAGAACCACATTGTGTCATTATACCTGTTGTTTTGTATGTTTTGTGCCTTCTTTGAATATTGATGAACTAACAGCTAGTTCTGGACAAATGGTTAGTAAAATAGCATTTGTTATAGCTAAATTGTAGCCTTGCTACAACCTCATTGATATCAGTACCTGTTACTTGGGAAAGCTGTCAGTGGAAAGGAGTCAAAACTAAAATTGGATGATGTGCACAATCAAAAGTTTGAAAGTGATGCACAATTCAACAGAGAGAAAATGTATAGCCAAGCGCAGAAGTGTGATTTCATGCATTCGGATCATCAAAGGGCTTGATCAGGTTTACTCTTCCCTAGTCAAATATATTACAAATACAAAACTCACATTTTTCAGGTAAATCATGCATATATTTCAAAAGATTTGGAGGCTTGGTTCAGACAGGGATGCACAAGCCTCATTGCTTACCAATATTCTTTGCAAATCAAATTCCATGGCAGTTTTCCTGATTTTATCCAAAAGGTCTTGGCTCCGTCAGTCCTTCTGTTTTTTCCATGAGACCCCACATCTCTCTGGGAAACTCTTGTCTTCAGTTTAGACAAAAGCTTCTAGAAATACTTATGGTTCTGTATATCCTGTGCCCAGGTAGCACAAAAACAGGAAAAAAAATTTTTAACGATAGGTTTTGGTTCCATTTCAGTTTTATTAGCCAGTCCAGGTTATTTCTGAACTTAACTGAATTGGTTCAGCCTGTTCTACTTCCCAGGCCTTGCACTCTATCACAGGTATCCAAGAAAGAAAAGAGAAACTCTTGCAATGGTAGTGAGGCAACCAACATCCAGATATTTAATGTGTACTGCAGATTAGTCTCTACTTAATAGTAATTTGATCCACCAGTATCCTTGTGAATGGGTACTGAAGGACTTGGTTGTGTAAAACATCAGACTTGTTCCAGCTTCTTTTTGTGTCTAGCCTTTTAGACAACAGTTTTCCCAAACACATTTTAGGCAAGATTAAATTCCGTTTTTCTGGCTAAAGTCATGGTAGGATATTGTTATGTGACGTATCACTGTGCACATAAGACAGGAATAGTGTTGTGACTTGAAAGCTTTACAAAATGTAGAGGGGGTTAGGAAGGTGTTATACAGTCACTGCACAATTGTGGAATATAGGTAGACATACCAGTCATTTCACTGAGTGATGTGAGTTGAAAAGCCTCCTGCTCTCAGGTCTGCAAGATAAAAGAAAGCACCATCAACTAAAATATTTGCTATATTTTTAGACATTACTTCTTTCTTGCACTCAAGGTTAAAATTGATTCTGTAGAACTGTAGAGGAATTAAAACATACTGGGCATGTCTGTACGAGGCACTTACCACATGGCCTAATAATTATGGTATTGATAATTACTGACAGTAGCCTAATATGGTATTGATAAATAACTGTAGTTACTGTCCATTTAGTTAGTACTTCATTAAGTAAGTACTACACTAAATGTACATTAACTACTGTGCATTAATGAATGTGTAGATGCACCCACAGAAGCTTAATGGCTCTTCTAAACTTCTTAGTGGAAATATCCCTGCTCTCTTGCTGGCCTGCAACAGAAGGACAGCTCCAGCAAGGCCAGTTGCAGTTTGGTAGATATTTTCAAGAACTTTGCTTTGTGGGAGGAGAGGTGAATGGGGTGTCAGGGCATGAGAGAAATAAGGAAAAAATGACCACAAGAGCCTTTCAATTTGGAAGAATGCTCATTATTTGTATTTGTACAATTATATGTTACTGTATTTCCCTGGCAGAAAAGGAAGGTCCAGGTTAAACCTATTGGATAAATGGAAAGCTCTAAAAATATATACTTCTAGTTTACACATTTACAGGAAACAGCCCTAGTTTTGTTTTGAAGAAATTGAATATATATCATCCAGTATAAGACAGTCACACAGGCCACAGCCAGACAAGTGCACACATTTCCACCATGCACCGTAGCTACTTGTTCCTGGGGAATGCCTGTGTCACGTGCACTTTGGTACATGGCAAGTTACCGCCAAGGGAAGTAGGGTAGGCCGGGACCAGCCGTATGCTGGTCCCAGCAGCTTTACTTGGGCTCCTGGGGGCCTTCTGGGGCTCCCAGCAGCAGTGATCCCACAGGGCAGAGCCTTGCTTGCAGCCACAGTGTGGCTCTGGGCAGTCCAGCTCCACTTTTCAGTGGCACGCACTGCCCGTACATGCACTGCTCCATTTTTTTTTCCACGGATTTGTTTGGCCCCTGGATATCCAGGGGTCAAGAAAACCTACAGGGAAAAAGAAAACCAGAGCAGCATGTACAGAGGCAGCACGCCCTTGTAGTGTGGAAAACATGTGACCATGTGATATGTGGTGCTGCAGATGTATTCATGGTGCCACATACATCACGGCCGCACTCATCTGGACATACCTACAGAGTGCATCATCATAGACTAAATGAAGAGAGTAGATAGGTAAATGATAATTATGGTATTGATAAATAAGTAAAAATGGCAAGAAAAACAAGCTTCCTCTTTCTATTACCTCAGGCTATATAGTATATGTATATATGCCTATGGATTTTATATGTTGAAGGATGTTGTCTGTAACCAGTGCATATCCTTTTCTTGGTGCACGTTTTAAAAAAAATATTGAAAAATATTGAAAAAGAATAAGACTATATAAAGCCTATTATGCTGTGTCATTCTTCTAAGGGCATCAACCAACAGTGAAAAAGCAAATGAAAAAATATTTAAAAACTTTATAGGGCCCGTTTCTAAAATGCCAAACAAATAACACTCAAAGATGTTTAAAACAAAAAGTAAAGGAGAAGAAAAGGCAGGTGAAGTGAGAGAGTGTCCTGGGTTTCTGTATGAGGCCAGTAAATCTCATGATGTAAAATAAAGACTTTTGAATGTTTTGGAGGAGTCAGAAGCTTTCCTGTGTGGGCACAACTTTGCTGTCACTTTCGGTTTTTCAAGATAATCCACAGACATTATGCCTCATATGCATTTCCTCTGATACCTGCATGTAAGAAATATAACTCTTCTTGACCACCATCAAGAGTGTACGGGGAAAATATGTAAAAAGTTCTGAGGTCAGCATTAGCTATGGCCATGGTTATGATTTCTGAAAATTTATAAAGAAAATTCAATGAAACTAGTTATCTTTGAAAGTTCTATATGGAAGTGCTAGCAGCTTTGAGAACTTGAAGTACGTCATTGCAGATCATAGAGTATTGACTGTATTTTGGGTTTTTTTTAAACATTAAGCTTAAATTCTGGAAGTGTTTAGAAGATAACAGATCTTGAAGCAGAAGCTGTCCCACTGTCTGCATATTATTCCAGTTTCCCTGTTCAACAGGTTCCCCAAACTGCGTTGTTTTCACATCTTAGTGCTTCCTATATTTATCACTGGTGGTTTATTTTGTCAAAAGTATCTTAGAGTCTAAGATTGCCATGGCTCTTAATTCCTAAAAAGATATTGATGACATTGAACATCATGGGAATTTTGCATAGGAGTACATAAATACCAAGCACCAATTAGTATAACTTGGGATTGTGAACAACAGAGGCTCAATTAGAATGGGAGCTGTCTTGATTAGGGCTAGTAGTTTGTCACAGATCTGATGATATTCAAGGAAAGTACCTATGGTTTACATTTCCGAGTAAGGCTATTTCTACCACTTTCCAATCCTGCTTCCTCTGCTGAAGCTGAGACAACAGCAGGGGGTTTCTCTTGCATGCCTTTCCAAACCGTTAATGCCTTGGGACTGAACTGTCTGGCACATGAATGGGTACTTGAAAACCTTCAAAAACATTTAAAAAGTAGAAGACATTAGGTTTAAAAGTCAGAGTGATCCAGCAGAATGGTATTTCCTAAGAGTTTCTTGTCTCCCCCTCCCTTTACATATGGCTGAGCCAGGATTTTTTTTTTTTTTTTTTTTTTTTTTTTTTTTTTTTTTTTTTTTTTTTTTTTTTTTGTCATTCTACAAAAGGATGACCTACCAGTAACTGCATGTATAAGGGAAGCAAATCTCCCAATGAAGTGCCTTGTGCAGGTAAAGCTAAGGACCTTCTCTAGTTTGTTCTTACTTAAAGTATCCTTTTTCCCTACTTAGATTATCTACATACCAGGTGTTGGCTGCTTGTTTTTCTGTTAAACCAATATTAAAAACAGTGACTTCACAATGACCTCTCGCAGGATAGTAGACAATATATTTGAAAGTTCACATGTGAGCACGAGACTTTTCTTTAACTGTACAAAGGCAGCAGACCAGATACTGCAATATACAGTTTATATGGCATTCAGCAACAAAGAGCAATTCACAAGACTGGTTTGGATGAATGAAAAAATTGATAGCGGATCTTCTTTATGCTGACCTTAAAAGCCCAGAATAGCTGCTGCCACCTTGCTTTCATTTGTTTCTTTAAAACATAGCATTAGGAAATGGGACAAGGGTAGACTCAAGATCTGTACATGCCAAAATAAAGCTAATCCATTTGAGATAGCACTAAACACTAAACTACTTTAGGAAGAAGAGAAAATCTAACATGGATTGTTCTTCCTGATCCCTTTTCCTCCCAAAGAAGACAAGCCTAATACAATAGAGATGCACAGAACTCTAAGTCTGTCTAGCAGAGCTTTACACT